TCGCAGATAATAGACTGGAGCGGTACCTGACTCATTCTCTGTCAATAAAGCTGTCTGAGTTAAATATCCAGACAAATCTGAAAATGCTGATCCCAGCAAGATTAAAAAAAAAAAGTATCAAATTATAGTGAGAAATGTAATCACTTATACTTCTGGAGCTAATATAAATTTGAAGTAGGAGGCTAATCTTTGCTTGCCTGAGGAAGGAAGAGAAACACTTTTAGTTGGAACATTAATAATTTTTGAAATATAATTCTGAAGTAATTTTCTTTGTAATGTGTAGAGCCTGTGGATGGTGGGATGAATTCGGGATTGATGCAATCGGTGTCTTTAGAGTTTGGGGTTGAATGAAGGGACTGCCTCCGGATCTGAAGTCAGTCCATTGGACTCTCTCTGGCCCAAGGAGACTGACTCTTAACCACAGAAAAACTTACATCTGTAAACCCCTGGCTACTATAGTCTCCAAATGCTTCTCTTTTTTACACTCTTCCAAATGCTGTAATTTATCTTGGAATGGACCATCACCAGATTTTATTTTCTTCCCTGAAATTTTGGCAACCAGACAGCACTTTGTCTAATCAAAACCACTCAGAAGTTTGACAAACCTTAGACAGTTGCAACTACCAGCGATAAACCTTTTATGTACAGCAATCAGAGTCTTCCATGGGTTGTTTTAAAGATGGTGTTTGCCTACAGAGAGACACACCACTTTACAAACCAAGGGGAAATACGAGGGTTTAATATTTTGATCAGAGAATTTTCGAACTAGCGGAGGAAAAAGCTGAGCTACTTTGTATGATCGAATGTATTGCGAGTAAATTGAAGTGAAATCAAGTGCAGGATATCTGTCTAAGGGAAATATCAAGCTATTGTAAATGTAAATATCCTTTCAGAATATCTAAACGGGGGAAGAGAAAGAGAGAACTTAGAATTTATCTATGCAAGAAGCTGGACAGAGTGATGATTAGAAGATCCAAGATGGGAATAACTATGATGACCCAGCAATGGAACAAGATCTTTTGAATATATTTGATTGATTCCCAGTGTTAGGCCAAGTTCACTGTCTTCTGGGCTTTATTCTTTCATTTACCAAATGATCAGGGGATTGAGGACAAATTGGGTGAGGAAATCTCTACGGTGCACTCTAAAATTGGAATCATTTAGAAGACATGGATTTAGTGGAATTCTTACGACTGTTTCTTACATTTGTTTAATTGCAAGAGGTGCTGTAGACTGTAATATGTAGGTTCAAATAGAAGTGAGATACATGCAGAGAAATTGTTTCTGCTCTGAAAATATGCACAAGATTTACCCAAAGAACATCTTGAACGTGGTTGGATTTTCACATTGATATCATTTGCTTCACTTGCTTTTCTAATGTGTAGCTGTCCATAGCTTTCCCCTGGTGGGAAGAGAACTAGAATAACTTTGGTGGAAATTAAAATCACTGCCTGTATAAGTGTCTTGACATTGGCTTTTCAGATCCTGACTGGGAGAACCTGGCCTTTCCTCCTTTCGCTCCCCAGTGTTTCCCTTTTCCTCCTTGTGACGCCCCTCTCTCCCTGTTTACAAAAGGATTATTCCTGGCTTCCAGCCCTTGTCCATCTTGTGGCTCCACTCCCATCTCTCTGGCTACCAAACTGCTGTTGATCCATTAAGCTCAGGTTTCTCCTTTGGAGAACTATGACCGATACTGCTCTCCTTCTGTACTGCTGTTTCACATGCTTTAGCACTGAATTTCGTCTGACCTTATTGTTTTATGTGTTGCCTTCTCTCCCCCAATCGGTAATATACTTCTCTAATGCACTGTACATCTATGTAGAGTATAGCTCAGTATTTGGCTGTTTTTCAGGGGGAGAAATGCCCATTCTCAGAGTTCTGAAAGCCAAAATGGCATTTTGAAATCTCAGTGTTACCAGCTATGAGCCACTGGTATAAAGCAGAAGGATCAATTCCATTGATAGGATATCCTAACGCAGTTGTGTGTGCGAGTGAGTGTACTTGAAGTAGAAAGAACGCCAGTCTTTGTCAGACACTTTTCTCAGGTCAGTGCACAACCGGGCTCCACGTTCTCGGGTGCTGTGGAAGAGCAATGGAAGGACAGCTGTTTCACAGTTGGCACCACTCTCTCTGGAAGTCCCCTGAGGAAGGAAGAAAAAGGCAGCAGCAGACATGGCCAGATATGTCCCTTTGGGTCAGAAGGGGCTCCTTTCTCGCACACAAGATTTCAAGTTTTTTAAATAATGATCACCTAGGATGAGGATGGGGGTTATGATGTGAATATTTTGAAAGTATGGAGCTTCTTACACCTCATCCTATTATGTTTTATTTACAAATGTTTGCATATTTTCTATCCCATTATTCCTTATGTACTGATAGTTAGGCTTAGCTAGCTTATGGTGCAGTAACAAATAAACCTTGAAACCCTAAGGGATTAACAAAATAAGTATTTGTTTTTCTCTCACTTCCCAAAGGATTGGGTAGTTTTCCCAGTGTCTCTTCATAAAGGGATTCGGGGGCTCAGTGATGACCTTACAGTATATTTTAGGAAAATGTTTGTCTATTCCACTCCCACTTAATGATTATATAATCAGTTTCCTGATGAATAAAACAACTAACAGCATGAGTTCTCTTATTTATGCATGCAGATCAGCTATTCTTCCTGTTTCCCTCCCACCCCCAGAAGTTTTCTCATCTTCTATTCCTTCATCCTATAGTAGTAATTGCAGCAGAGACTTAGGGCTGAGCCTGGATCACAGCATATGGGCATGGAATCCTAAAGTGGAATTTGTGCTCTGAGGAACCTAAGACTTACGATAGCTGGTCATCTTTTCATCCCAACTCTAGAGCAGTAGTACCTGAGAAAAATTGGTGCCACAATAAATATTTTTTGAATGAACTCACAACACCTCTTAGCTTTGTCTTTATCATAAAGCTAATTTTTTTCCTATTATTTTACCTGTGTAAAATATTCCCTAGCTTTTCCTATATTTGCAGTGAATGCTTTGAAACAAAGCTCTGAACTTCACCTACTGTAATTTGACATTGAAAATTAGAGAAAGGAATGTTTTCCAAATTCAGGAATTTACTCCCCCCCTTTTTTGTTCACTGATGTAACTTTTGAAATATAAGTAGAAACTTAGTGAAAGCATCACATCAAATATGTAAACTGCAAAGATTTTAAAAGAGAAATAGATGAAAGAGACCGAACTGAATTAAACTCCATTTAGTGTCATTTTTCAAATATCACCTGAAGCACTCTATATAGTCATTTCAGCTGCTTCAAGTATTACAGCCTCAGGCACAGTGTAGTATAGGGACAATAAAGGTAAGATGTAAATTGTGGACAAAGAAAAGAAATGTGTTTGTTCATGGTTTAAATAGAATATTTCTGGACAACTTTTCACTTGGATGGCCCTTCTTAAGTGGCTGTTTTTGTAGAGTTGAAAGTGGGGCTTGCAAAACTGTAAATCAGGCATCTACATTCACATCTTGATCCGCAAATTACTTATTCATTTGCTAGAGTAAAGCAGATTCATGAAATCAATACGTTGGTTATTCATTTATGCCTTATGCTTTTTTTTTCCATTTGGAAGAATCTATAAAGCAAACTCTTAACATTTCATTGAGCTAAAAAATGAGAGCATATTTCTAGCAAATGTCTTCAGTTTCCTTCCTCTTGTGTTTTCCTGTTGTATGAGGATCGCTCAAGGCTATGTTCTCTATTGGTGTGAGATCAGTGGGTGGTTATGTTCAAGTCAGCCATAATGACTTTCTGCAAATATTTGTGAAAACAGGCTTGTGTAAAGTGGTCAGGGATGAGCTTAGGTGCTACATTTGTGAATTAAGGACTGGAGGTTCTTATGTATTTTAAGAAAATAAAATGTTGATTTGGAGGTCACAAATATGAAATTGAGGTCGTATAATCAATTTCCATATAAAAATTATAGCGTTTCCATGATGAATTTCAGATTAAGGTATTAATTTGCATCAATATTTATCCTACGTTGAGGCTGTTAGGGGCTTCAAATACTTGCACCCAGGAAGATCTGCTACTTTAATGCTAACTCTGCAGACATGCTCTGGATTGTGTGTTATGTACATTTACCTGAAATGTTTGTTCTTGGGTAATGAATGGCAGCTGTGTTCTCTATGATGTGCTTAAATACTTTCACTTTTATGAAAAATATCACTGTCAGATTGTTCCTCAAAATGAAATCCCTTTCCTGATGTAAAGCTGTGAACTTTCGAGTTTCACTAGGGAACAGGAAAAGCATGATGCTGACTGTGAGCTCAGTATACACCTGAGTTTGTGATGAAATTAAAACAAGAATTAATTTCAAGTCTGCCCCTGGTGAACCTGGAGATTTTGGGGAAACTTGGGTCTTTGTCACACACAGCCCAAATGACAGTCAAAATTCAGCCTAACTCTAATTATTTAGCCCTTTCATAGCCATTCTTTGAATTACAGTCTTAGTATCTGTAGATCTGTGACAAGAACAAAATGTTGGTCTTAACACTTGAAATATGTATTGGTATAATGAAGGGAACTGGATATTTGAAATATTATTTTCTATTTTTAATATGACCTTGTAATTTATTTTGGTTATAATTAACATTATGAAAGTCTTATGCATGGTACAGCTCATTGAAAGCCCAAAATGTACAAAATAAGTTGAAAAGAAGAAACAGCTGTCTTCAAGATGTCTAATGTTCTGAGGGCTACATGGTGCGCAAAAGCTTACAATCTCGCCTCCTATATAAATTTCTCGAATTCTCCTTAACATTGTCCAGTTGTTCAAACTGCTTGTAGTTTCAATAGCTTCTGTTATTGGTTTTTTTTTTCTGGGGAGGAAACTTGTTTTTTTCTTTTCTTTAATTTTTTTAAATAACAGATTTGTAGTCACTACCTGGTTTGAATAAATCAAGCCAGAAATATCCTGACAGTGCACCGAACAAGACCTGTGTGTATAATGTGAGTTCTTTCTTTTCAATTTTAGAATCAACCTTGTCCTATGTTAGGCAGCTGGAGGCAAGAGTAAGACAGCTGGAGGAAGAGAATCGCATGCTGCCCCAGGTGGGTGACTTCCAGAAGCTCATAGCTAGTCAGTGTCATTTGAGTTGTAGCATTTTATTTGGAGTTTGAAGTCTCAATTACATTTTCTCCTTGAAATGATAGAAATCATTTTGTAAGTAGTCATTCATCAGTGTGGAGTGTGATTACTTTTCATAATGACCATCCTATTATGCAGGTTCTTAAACTGTGACAATAAAAGATGCAGATGTCTGAAATAAGAATGTAAAGCAATTTTGGAAGGAAGAAGAAAAATGAAAGGAAATAGAAAGTACTTTGATAGCACTGCTCATATACATTATGCATGTCGTTGGTGAAGATAGAGAAGGGGCTTGTATTTAAAGAAAAATTTTGCTAATTTGTGAGGTAGGGACAGCTGGGGGAGATTGAAGCTGTCATGTTTTAATTAAATTAGCATGTACTAAAGTTCTTTGTGATATGATTGAACCTTTCAGGACAACAAGGTGATGACAGTAATTGACAGTTTTTACTTTGGGGCCTCATTTCTTTTCCCCGGTGAATGTAAAGTGTGGCTTTGTCTGGGGTGTACTGCCTGCCACATATTTTCCTTATAAAATTATTTCCATGGCCGATATCTTGGTGAAATGATGTTGGTCCTTTGAGGGGGTGGTTCTTGGGAAATGTTCTGTGAGCAGTTGAACAAATCTGATTCTAGGTTGCTTCCCTTTACAGACATGTAGGCAGCAACGTATTTTAATATTTTATAAAAGTGAACTTTTTAAGTATTTGTTTGCTATTGTACTTTCCACATTTTGGTGATTGTTTCTATTTCATAAGTGACTAAGGGAAAATTAAAACTCAAATAGTTTAAACGGAAATACAAAGACCGGTTACAGTGCAAGAGGAGATATAGAAACATTAGTGCAAATATGCTTAGGAAAGACATTTTAGGTCTTTTTAAAATCCTGTTTTGTTTTTTTTAAATGGCTTTTGGTCAGTAATGATGATTTGGGCTATCAGGTACTGCATGTGAGAATGCCTGTCTCTTTCTTCCATTGGCCAACCATCTGGCTAGAAATCATGAAATTATATGAATCTACTTATCTCCCTTCTCAAACTACATATATGTTAAAACTCATGATGACGGAAAGGGTCATTTGTACCATGGAATATAGTGTATGTAGAGCTTTTTTCTTTGCTCTTCTATACTTTTCATTTTCAAATTTTCTTTGCCATTTTCCCTTTTATATTGGATTCACTGTATGAGTGTTCTAGGGCCCTGTTCCAAAAGTGAAAAAAATATAATTAGTTGATTATGGACACTCTCTATGGTTATACCATCTCAGAGGCAACTGGGAATGTAAATGAAAAGAAAGAGAAAAAAGAATGTTTCTTAGTTTTCCTGTGAGTGGAAATGCTAGTATCAACATCAAAATGCTAACATGTGTGCTATCTTAACGAAAAAAAGGGACTACAAATGTGAAAATGATGACAAGATTGATTTCTAAAAATCTGCAAATGTGAGTGTTAGTGGTCTTGAAAAGAAATCAGAAGTCTTCACCTATACTTGATATGTGTGTATAATTAAATATATAGTACTTACACAGTTAAGCGTAGAAGAGATTAAAAAACTTTTCAAGGTATAAAGTGTTCAAGCATATGTTTTTAAAATTCTCTGCTACTTTCTGTCAAAAAACATTGTTTTGTTTATTTCTCCACAATAAGTGGCTAGGAAAGATCGTGTTTTATTGAATCTAAGGTGTTACTGATGTGAGATGCCCCAGTATCATATGTACCATAAAGAGGAAAAAAAAAAAGATGTCAATTATTTCTAGTCAGATTCTTGCTAATATCAGAGATAGTAAAATGGAAAAATATATAAAATTAAACAGCGATGTTTGTGCCCAAATTACTTTAATGCAAAGAAAAATCCTTTGTTTTAAATAATATGCAAACAAAACGATAGCTCTCTCTTCGTTCAATAGCAGTATTTCCATTAAATTTCAGTACTTGTTAGTGTTTTCATTTACAGCAAAAATACATACAATAGAGTCAGCACTTGCAATTACTTGGTAGAAACACACTGAAATGAACAGTGAGAGTCATAAAAGGGAATCCTTGTGGAGGGCTGGGACTGGGGCTGGAAAACACACAGGCTGTGTAATTTCTTAGACGTCACTGGGACTGTTATAAATAATTATGTGATTTCCCCGCAGAAACTATTTCTGATTGCATGATGTTAGCTGATTTGCAAGGTCAGTTCAATGCAACAAGCTAACGTCACTGCATAAAATAGTCTCAATATCTGAAAACTTGATTTTTAGTTAATAGCTTTCTCACTGTGCAGTTGATTAGAAGAAATTCTTTTTTGTTCCCAAGTTTTAAAAAATATGACCACTTGTCTTTGGATAAATAGGAATAAGAATATAGTTGGCAATTGACATTCCAAGTATATCAAATATCTTTTGTGGCTGTGTCCAGCTTCTTTGCTGATAATTTAGTGTTTAGAATAATTATGTAAAGCACTTTCCCAGAGGATAAAATCTCCTCCGTGCTCATTTTTATTCCTTATATAAAATTGCATATAATGAAAAGAAAGTCACAACTTTTCCCTAGCTATGCATATTTTAAAATAAGCAAAGTGAGTGTCACAAATGCTGTGGATTTCTCTCTGGTTAGATGCAAAGGCTTCCATTTCTTAATTTATACATGACAAGGTTCCACCCAGCTCTTAAATCTTGTAGGCCTGAGTGTAAATAAAGTTTGGGTCCAGTCTTATACCCATGCAAAGTTACCAAGTCCTCGAATGAAGGGTTTATATGCAAGTACAGAGAGAAAAACGTAGTGAAGACTGAGCTGGTTCTACCCAGTGGCACATAGGAGCCCACAGGAAGTATAGATGGAATATTAATATGTTCCATGGCAGGCCATTACCCAGGTTCACAGAGCTCTTTGCTCTGCTATGGTTTATAGAGTATCCTACAAGACAATTGAGCTGTACCTTAAATCTAAATTTGTGAACACAGTTTTCAAAGGTGTCCTAAAATAAGAACAGTCTCATTATTTTCAGAAAATGCAGTGGTATTTGATATGTATTATTTGAAAAGGAAATGCCTTTTTTTAAACTTTTTATTTTGATAGGAAGACAATATGAGATCTACCCTCTTAAAGATCTTTAAGTATACAATACAGTATTATTTTCTATTGGTATGAGTTTGTCATTAGATCTCGAGAGCTTATTCAGCTTCCATAACTGAAATTGTATACATGTTGATTATCAACTCCCCTTACCCCTCCCAATCCCTGACAACCACCATTCTATTCTTTCTTTCAATGAATGTGACTATTTTAGAGATCTCATATAAATGGAAT